GCTGTGGAGAATACTATGCTAGGTTTGTATCCAGCTGTGGGAAGTCAGGAGGGTTTCTAGAGGGGATGGCATTTAAAATCAACATAAGAACATGGCTAGGATTGGAATAGAATGAGAAGAAGGAGACCATTGGAAAAAGGAAGAGCTTGAACAGAGGCAGAGAAGCAAGTTCTGTATAGAGAATGTCAAATGTGTTGATCAACCTGAAGAACAGTGTACAAAGGGGAAACAAATGGGAAACAAATGGGGAGTAGGTTTTGTCAGGTTAAGAGAAACCAAGTACAGAGGCTGGCAGGGAGTTTGGTGGTTAAGGATGCTGTACACCCACAGGGCTGACTTTGGTTTGAGTCCCAGACCAGTGGCTTACTTTCTCACTCCCTCCAACCCCCGCCACTCTCATTCTGACCCTTTCTGGTCAAATTAAAATAAATAAATAAAGTTAAATAAAATAATTCTTTTTAAAAAAGGAAGAGAAACCAAGGACATATTATGGATTTTAGGGACCTTATACTTTAAAAGACAGTGAAGAGCCATAAACTAACTAACTAACTAACATTGTCTTTCTATATTGCTATCCTATATATACTTAATCACATGTATGTCATATATAGGCTCCCAACCACAGCAGGTCATCATAATCAATTGGAGCTTAATTATTATTATTATTATTATTATTATTATTATTATTATTTTGCTATCAGGCACGTGTTTGCCAGAAAGAGACAGAGAGAGGGAGAGAGAGAAAGAGAGAGAGAGAGAAAGAGAGAGAGAAAGAAGCACCTGGTGTGATCTTCAAGTCACTGGGTCTGAGACTTGGACCATGGTCAATCATGTGGGAATCCAGTGTCAACCACCACACTACCTGGTGGCCTCCAACTTGAATAAAAACATAAGGATGACTTGAAAAACTATACTTAAAACAAACAAACAAAAAGACAAGTTTTAATGTGATTTTTATTTCTTGGGTTTAGTAGTCACTTGAAGATGATCGATTACTGGCCAGGAAATCCTATTCATTTATTTATCAAATGTGTATCGAGTATTTGGTGCGCATCAGATGTTATACGGATTAATGGAAATATAGACAGGAAGACAATAGACACTGTTACTAATTGATAGAGTTTGCATTAGCAGGATTAACAAAAGCTAAATGAATAATTACACAACTTATAACCACTATGTACCATTGAGAAACCCAGGGTGAAACCCAGTAAAATCAAGGGAAAAATACTTCAAGAAAAGCAACAGGAAGTAAAGCAAAAAATGCAAAAACGTGAAGAAAGCAAGCTGTTTTATTGGCAGAACTGTGGGTTTGATGCCCTTGCCCAAACACTTAGCTTTGGAATTGTCGTCTCTAGAGGAGTCGTTGTTAACCTCTCCTTAAGTGCAAGGGAAAACCGATCCTTCTGGAATGAGGAATTTAATTTACACACCATTCTTGCATACATTACAGATACACATATAAATTATTTTTCCTAATTCTAGTAGGAAAAAACTTTCTGAGAGATCTCTGTGTTCTAAAATATCTCTCTAGAAAGCTTCTCCTGTTAGTTTGCATTGAGTCTTAGCTACCTAGGAAAGCTGCAAAAGTTTTTGGGCTCCTAATTTCTTTTTCTTTTTTCTTTTTTTGTAGATGATTTTGCTATAGTACATGTGTGCTCACCAGAAAGAGAGAGAGAGACAGAGAGATAGAAAGAAATCACCCCCTGCAGGGGGAATGGCCACGCCCATAATCCCTTCTCCTCCATTCTCCTCTCAGAATCTTGGGCACGCACACACACATACCCAGCATGAGTTTAAGCCACCAGGTCCAGGATTAGAACCACGGTTGGCTCTATGGGAGTCTAGCGACATAGCCATTATGCCAACTGCTGGTCCCAAGTTTCATAGTTTTAATCACGTTTTCATAGGAATCTGTAGCCACAGAACAATGAAGAACCACTGATAAAGCATAACTAAAGTTATAGTAAATAGACATATGCTTTTTTTTTTTCTGCTATAGGGCCCGTGTGCCTGCCAGACAGACAGAGAAAGCGAGAAATCACCCCCCAGGGGGGATGGTCACACCGCAATCCCTTCTCCTCCATTCTCCTCTTGGGATCTTGGGCATGCACACACACATGCCCAGTGTGAGTTTTAAGCGCCCAGGTCCCCGACGCGAACCGCGGTCGACTACATGGGAGTCCAGTGACACAGTCATTACGCTAACTGCTGGTCCCGACATATGCTCTTTTGAGTCATGTAAGAAAATTAAATTTAAGGAAAAAAATATATATTAAAGTTTATTTATTTATTCCATGGGAAGACAGAGATAGACACCCCTAATGGGTCATGAGATTGTGATTCACCCTTTAGCTTCAAAGAGCCCCAAGTCAAGGGCACGTGTGTGCTAGGTACAGGTATGCTCAGGGAAGTCTCTGGAAATGAACCTGGAACCTTCCCATGTAGGTCAGTCTTGTAGAGCATCTCCCTTTACCATTAAGCCATCATCTGGGTTCCCTAAAGGTATTTCTTTTTCTTTCTTTCCCTTGTCTTAATTTCCCTTCTAGTGAATTTAATGCTCTTAGAATGATTTCATTATTATATTGGGTTGTTGGAAAACTCATGACATTTTTTCTATGTAAAAATGCATCATGACTTTTCTGATGACCCAATATATCATAAATGAATACTTTACAAACTATTTCGACCTACCTGGACTCCTAAATCAGCAAAAGAACTCCATAAGTGCTGAGCATGGTATCTCTGGGTTACAGGGAAGAAGACAAAAAGACACAGCTGAGAGTAAAAGCACCCCTCTGCCTTTGAGCTTGTGCCTGGCATTGTCATTCTAGATGCTTAAAAGCCCAATAGGTTTGGCATAAGGAAGATCAGCTACCAAATATCATTGGAAAAGCTAAAGAATTTTTGTAGGATATTCAAACCCTCCACCTAAATTGGCAAGGGACGAAGGTGCACAGCAAGACAGTGAGTCAACGAAACAGATGAGATGAGTTCTCAGATGATCCAAGCCTTGTCTACGTATCCTCTCTCAACAGCTGCTTTTATCGGCTACTTCAGAGAAATGTGGAAAGCCCCCATAATGCACCTCGTGAGTTCTGCCAAATGTGTGAAATTCTGGCAGAAGCAGGAAAGGGAAACATGCTCCCCAGCTGGTATTTGGCTCTGGGATAAAGTTTGATGACCATCATATATCTCCTGTCACATCTTTGCCCTTTCCATAATGAAACTTAGTGACTTATGTATAAATCCTGGGATCCATTTTATCTTTCTTAAAAAAATAGATAGGTCATCACATCAAGGATTTTCCTTGTCCTTCTTGTGATAGTTATTTCTAAATTGCTTTATTTTTCAGAAAATGTTTTCAAATACGATAGGTCTGGAGCATCATCTACAGATATATTTCTCAAATTAAACTTATCTGTCTTTGGTTCTCATGGTGACCTTTGATAACTTTAGAATTAAAATTCTATCGATATGACTCATGGGTAATAAAAGGATCATGGGACAGGTGTAATTGTTTCTGGCTTTCTCAATATTTGGCAAATATGGAGTAATATACACAGTTGGATTACCTTTGCAAAGAAAGCATTTATATTTATAAAATGCTTGTGAGAACAGAGCTAATGTGTTCCATAGTCCTATTACATTTTAATAAAGAAGATTCACTTACAATTTGGGCTCCAAATCAAATATTTCAAAAGAAGTCTCATAGTATGATGATTAGGTTCAAAAGAAACACAGTCTTTACAGAAAAGCTATCTCATAGCAATTTTTAGAAACAGTCTTCTTGGTCTGAGATAACTTTGTGTGTAGTTATTTAGAATTTTTTTTTTTTGTAGAGGTTTTTGCTATAGGGCGTGTGTGCTTGCCAGACAGACAGAGAGAGACAGAAAGACAGAAAGCGAGAAATCACCCCTCAGGGGGGGATGGCCACGCTACAATCCCTCTCCTCCATTCTCCTCTTGTGATCTTGGGCATGCGCGCACATGCGCCCGGCGTGAGTTTTAAGCCACCAGGTCTGGGACTCGAACCGCGGTCGACTACGTGGGAGTCCAGTGACATAGCCATTACGTTAACTGCTGGTTCCCCTAGTTATTTAGAAGTTTTGACTGACTGATTCTGTGATATTAGACTGAAGAAGAACATTGGAGTGGGCTTTCACTTCTAACGTAATTCAGTATATGAGAGAACTAAAGTAAACTCACAAGACTAAATGCTGGACATAGCGTTAGTGCAGTTCTGGGGTGGAAATGTGGCTTCAGAAAGAACTGTCTTTAGATGAAACACATCTATTACAAGGTTACATGATTTTCAATATGATTTTAAGCCTAAATGACTCCTTCAGTTTTTATTTGTTTTTCTTAAGCTTTTGCCATAGGGTACATGTGCTTGCTAGAGAAAATGAGAGGGAAAGTGAGAAATCACTGCCCTCCCCTGTCCCCCCATGGGGAGTGGGGGATGGCCATTCCGAAATCCCTTCTCCTCCATTTTCTTCCTGCATGCACATGTGCCTGGCATGATTTTCAAGCCCCTCCCTCCCCACCAGTCTCGTACTCAAACTGTGGTGGACTATGTGGGAGTCCAGCAGTTAGCCACTATGCCACCTGCTGACCACACCTTGAGCATTTTTATAAACCATTTACTTGTGACTTCTTTTCCATTTGAATGTACAGATTTTCCTTGCAAGCTAATTAGTTACAGTTCTGGCAGAAAAGCCTTGGCCTTGGGAGAAAAAAAATGGAAGCAATATCCAAAAGTATAACCTTTTTTATAAAAGATTTCATTTTTGTCACAAAAAGCACAAGTGTTAGCAATGATAGGCCAGGCTAAAAATGCTAAATCTTGGCTGTATATTTGTTTCCAAGAGCAATCATTATTTTATCTCAAGCTGCTCTTTGGTTATTACATTTGAGGAAAATACTCTTGCTAGAAAGGTATTTAAGATTATTTTTTTAACATAATGGAGTAGAAAAATAGAGTGCACACTAAACAAGAAGAAGGAGATAAAATGATTTTATTAGTTCAACTAAAGCGAATAAAATAGGAAAAGATACAATCACTTGATTGCAATCGTAAAGAATCCCACACACTTGTTTAAGCATAAATTGATGCTTACAGATTACTATTTGCTAGCCTATAGGTTGTTATTTTTGTTAAGCATTAAGAATGAACATGAAAGTTTTTTGGTTTTGCAGATCAAATTTGTAGGTATGCTGTCTTATTAAGTATTGAAATAATTTTTTTTTCAAAATTGTTATTTTACTGGATTATGCTAGAAGCAGGACTGTGTTCCTAAGCGGGAATAAGCTTTTCTTTCAGCCTATCAGAATGAAGCTCTCACTGTTCTGCCCTTCAGAGGCTGGGTTGGTCGGTTGTTCTTCTTTACAGGGACAGGGCTATCACCTTCAGTGTTGGATAGAAGACTGCGGAACTGTGCCAGCTGGGAAGATACAACACATGAATCAAAAGCTATTAATGTTACACAAAGCACATTATTTCCAATATAGTGCACTGATATTTAGAAAATGGAGACAGAATTGCAGTGGTTTCACTAGTGGAAAGGAGGGAAGCTGAAAATCCTTCGCATTCCTTTCAGCTAAGCATTTTGGTTAAATTATCAATGATTGACTGGGTTAGAATATACCAATTTGTTCAACTGGAGTACCTTGGACAAATGGCTCATCACCATGGTGCCTCAGATTTGATATAGTACCTACTACAGAGTTCTGAAAATTAAATGGGTTAATACATGTAAAGTACTTAGAATAAGGCATGGCACATAGCATGTGCTCTATAAATGTGTTAGAAATAAGCCATCATGCGTACTTAATAAAATTAGTTGCTCAATTATAATTATCATCATCATTATTATAAATACTACTGGGTTGTTGGAAAAGTTATGACATCATCATTATTATAAATACTACTGGGTTGTTGGAAAAGTTATGACATATTTTTATGTGCAAAAAGTGCATTGTGACATTTCTGATGCCCCAATATTTATAATGATATAATGATTATAAATGAAAATCTTATTATAATGTTATTAATAATGAGATAGTTTATTGGATATTTAAAAGCTTAAGCTTCAGTAAAAGAATAAAAAAGTTTTGCCAAATATATATTTTAAAGATAGGACAATTTGAGAGACACAATTCCCCAAAGTCTTAGTGGAACTTTCAAGAACATTTTTCCTTTGTTTCTGAACATTGACAAAAGACATTTAACAAGGTTGGACTCTTCCTTATTAAGGAGAAAAGAATAATGGGAATTCTGAATCTTATCTATATATATATATTTTTTTCTGCATAAAGTAAAAAGAAAAATCAGCATTCTTACGCACTTTTTGGAAACTTTACCAGACCTATGCCAGAAACGAAAAAAGTTTCTGAAAAAGTTCTTTTGGAAGAGAAAGTAAACTCTCAAAAATTGAATCTAAATAATAATCTCCCTTGGTAATGCAATAAATTGAAGCAATATTCCTGCTTTGCACTTCCAATTCCCACCTATTCTCTTCCTATTCCTATTCGTCTCTGATACCCTACCTGTTCCGAGCTGACACTGATGTTCTCCTTACAGATGATCCAGGTTACACTCTCATGAAGAGGAGGATGAGTCAGAGAGCCAGTGTAGGTCCAGTAATCCAAGGAGGAAGGAAGAAGGGTAGCAGGGTCAAAATTTGTGAATGGGGCTTGTTTACCCTGGAAAGAAAAGTACATATCAATATATTATTATATAAAATCTTTATATCCATACATATGATACGTGTTATATTATCTTGTTGTACATTATCTAGAGATTTTTAGCTAAGAATTAAATGAATCTTTCTGTTACATAGCTGGCATGTTTGTGTATACAAACAATAAAATTGATAGTAAAGAAGAAATTAGAAATGCACTCCACTGAAGGAAGATTTAATCAATCTTCCTTCTTCATTTGGTTGAAGATAACAAAGTTGAGAAAGAGTTTACTATCTATGTTCTGTAAAAGATACTTAATTTCCAGTATAAACCATTTATTGTTTCTCTAGGTAAGGTGTCAGATTCTAGTCCAGTGGCAAAGACCTTAATTGACATGTATGTGAATTACACTTTAGCCATATTCTATTTATTTCTGTTATCTTTCCTCATTGATTATTACTGGTTTATAGAAAATGAACTGATTTTGTACGCTAATTTTTATGCAGTCAGCTTTATCAGACTTTTATATCAATTCTGTTTTTTAGCTTGTTTTGAATTTTTCAGGCCAATGTTAACAATCATATTGTCTGCACATAATGATAGTTTTGTCCTTGTTGTTCCAATTTATATCCTAATAGATACTCTTGTTTGTTTCTTTATTTTGTTGCATTGATTAGGAACTTCATTACAATGTTTAATTGTGATATCACTGCTGATATCTAGTGTTGTTCCAGATTGAAATGGAAATGCTTTGAGTGTTTTACTATTCAGTTTGATGTCTGGTGAAAGTTTCTTAGTCATATCCTTTACCAAATTTGAGAATTCTTCAGAGATTTTTCTTTTATTTCATTTTGTTTCATCCTCTAGAATGAGCATCAAATTTTATCATGTGCTTTTAAGCATCTAACAAGTTGATTATGTGAGTTTTGATCTGTAATTTGTTAACATAAGAAATTATATTAATATATATTTTAATATTGAACCATCCTTGCATTCCTGGGATAAAATCTCTTAGTTCAGAAACATTCTTTTAATACACTATTGAATATGATTTGCTATCATTAGAATTTCTTTTGAATATATTCCTAAGATAGTCTAGCCTTGAGCATTCTTTTTTATTAGTGTTCTTACCTGGTTTTATTAGATTTCATTAAATTGGTGAAAGTTTCTGTCTATTCCCTCATCTAGGCAGTTTTGGTAACACTGGCATGATTGGTTCTTAAGGGCTCAGTAATGCTTTCCCATAAAATGTTTAAGTTTTACTTAATAAGTACATTTTGACTATGTTTTCAATTTATTTTTAGATTTACCAGTTTACTTAATTTTTCTTACTCAAGTCAATTTTATTATTTCACATTTTCCTAGAAAACCATCTACTTTTTTCAAATTTAGTGGTATAATGTTATAAATACTTCTATTTTATAAAACTTTCTTCTATAGTTTTTAGTTATATCCCACTTCTTATTTCTTAACAATACTTTGTAGGTGTACATTTTTTTCCTTTTAACTCGCGCCCGCGGGACCGCCCAGGGGGAGGTCCGGCGGGTAGGCGGCGCCCAAATTTGAGAATTCTTCAGAGATTTTTCTTTTATTTCATTTTGTTTCATCCTCTAGAATGAGCATCAAATTTTATCATGTGCTTTTAAGCATCTAACAAGTTGATTATGTGAGTTTTGATCTGTAATTTGTTAACATAAGAAATTATATTAATATATATTTTAATATTGAACCATCCTTGCATTCCTGGGATAAAAATCTCTTAGTTCAGAAACATTCTTTTAATACACTATTGAATATGATTTGCTATCATTAGAATTTCTTTTGAATATATTCCTAAGATAGTCTAGCCTTGAGCATTCTTTTTTATTAGTGTTCTTACCTGGTTTTATTAGATTTCATTAAATTGGTGAAAGTTTCTGTCTATTCCCTCATCTAGGCAGTTTTGGTAACACTGGCATGATTGGTTCTTAAGGGCTCAGTAATGCTTTCCCATAAAATGTTTAAGTTTTACTTAATAAGTACATTTTGACTATGTTTTCAATTTATTTTTAGATTTACCAGTTTACTTAATTTTTCTTACTCAAGTCAATTTTATTATTTCACATTTTCCTAGAAAACCATCTACTTTTTTCAAATTTAGTGGTATAATGTTATAAATACTTCTATTTTATAAAACTTTCTTCTATAGTTTTTAGTTATATCCCACTTCTTATTTCTTAACAATACTTTGTAGGTGTACATTTTTTTCCTTTTAACTTGTCAAAAGTCTTTTCATTGTTTTTTCTGAAGAATCAATATTTTTATTTCATTAATAAAATTTTACTTTTTACTTATTCATCATTTTTCATTCTTATTTTTATTGTTTTCTGCTTTTATATTCACTAATAACTTTCTCCATTTCCTTTTCATGTGTAATTTTTGCTATTCTTTTTTTTGGAGAGGTTTTTGCTATAGGGTGTGTGTGCTCGCCAGACAGAGAGAGACAGAGGGACAGAAAGTGAGAAACCACCCCCCCCAGGGGGGATGGCCATGCCACAATCCCTTCTCTTCCATTCTCCTCTCGGGATCTTGGGCACACATGCACAAGCACCCGGCGTGCGTTTTAAGCCACTGGGTCCGGGATGCGAACCATGGTTGACTACATGGGAGTCCAGCGACATAGCCATTACACTAACTGCTGTCTCTAAATTTTGCTATTCTTGAGTTCAATGATTATTTTTTATTTTCTGTCTTTCTCACTTTGTAATAAATTTATTTAAAGTTTAATTTTTTCTATAATCAATACAAATCAGATTTATTGGCTCATCAAAGTCATGATATATTTTTCTATGTAAAAAATGCATCATGACTTTTCTGATGACCCAATATTTTTTATAATAATGTGGCAATCTTGTACAATGTAAAAGAAAACAATAATTCTCTGACTTATGATTTAATTATTACTGTTTAAAGTTTAAGTTGAATATACTAAAAATTCTATCTGTTTTTGAGTTGACAGATCATGGTTATCAAATATTGTGTATAAATGGAATTTCAGAAGAATACCCTTAATTCATGAGGCTTTGCACTGCTAAAGAAATATATTATTTTTCACAATATTTAAGTTGGATATAGATTTTTAAGTAAATTTGAATGGTTAGGTAACCTTGTATTTTTATGGGCTTTACCCTACTGAAATATATTTTCACAAACAATAACTAGGAAAAGCAAAAACAAAACAAATCCCCTGAATTAGAGTCTTTCTCAGAAACAGACTATCTAAGTAATACCTTGATTTTCAGATTGGTATCTTTTGCTTGGGTCTTTTCACATCCCAGTTCAAACACGTAATTAAGTGATTTCCATACTTCCGAGGGTTCTTGTTCTCAGAGTTAAGCTAATGTATTAGACTATTTACCTTAGTTTTAACTGCATTTACAGCATCAAGCACTTTCTGCAGCTTTGGATTGGCCGGACCAACCTGGAGATTAAAAAAATTAAAAGTGAGATAAAGATCATTGTCAATTAAACACTGTGGGGATAATTTTTACCTTTTTCTCAATGAACAACATTAATTTATGAGAGGTGAGGTGTTTTTTTCTCTGCTCAAGAGGAAGGAATTTTGCTAGGTGTATGACTTTGTAGCCCTTTGTACTCTACAAAGTATTCATACAGTGGAACTATTATTAAAATGACAAACAAAAAGCTTGGAATAAATTTAATTATGGATGAGATGCTCAAAACATGCTAGATATGTGTATGTGCATGCCTCAAATCCCAACAGCATGGAGAAACGGATATGAAGGGATTATAGCATAATATTGCCTCACTGGGGGGCGTTTCTCTCTCTCTCTCTTTGTTTTCCTGTCTCTCTAGCAATAAAAAATTAATCAACAGCACATTTAATAGACACAAAAATAAAAAGTTGTCTGCTGATGATAATGTGTAAGGTATGTCTTTGATTTGACTGATATGCACTGTATTCATGCTGGGAAAAACCATGTTGTACACTGTAAAGTTGTACAAGATTAAAAGTAAATAAAAAATACAATAAATACAATTTAAAACGTTAATTAAATTTTCTTTATGGAAAAATGTTTTTAATATTGAGATATTCAGATGATAAATTCTTGAGGTAGATGCTTAGAGGAAAGGGAACTTGAAAGAGCTGGAAATAAAATTCTCTTTTTCTCTGTAAGCACTTTCTTATTCCAGTCCCAAACTGAAATTTATTTCTGTCAAGGGAGAAAAATAGCAAACAAAAATGCCAGAAAATACTAGGAACTATTTGTCCACATGTAGTCATTCACAGAATGGGAACAAAGAAAGACTCAAAGATCTTTTGCCTGATATCATTCTATTTTGAGGTCTGATTGGTAAGAAATTGTATTAGCAGAGCTATCTATCTGTAACTCACCTTCATTAAAACTCCAATAATTGCCAAACCATCAGCCTTTGAGGAAGCTTCCACACAGCTGGAATACTTTGAAGAATTCCAGTGAACTAGATGAAGCTACAAATGATAACGTAGTTAGTTACTTATAGTGAAAAACAAAAAGTAATTTATAGGCTAACTTGTTAATATATGAAGATGTGTCTTGTTTATATAGATTAAATTTATTATCCAGAGGATTGGAAAGGTTATGTTCTTACCATTAGAAATTATTTGTGTGTTGCCTAGACTAAGTAGATCGCAAATCTTTGAACCAGTAAGTAAAATGTTTTTCCCTCAGTATTATCCACATTCAGTATTACTCCTATAGATATCTATCTTTGGTATGAAAGACCAGGAAATCTGCCTAAATGGCATTAGGATAAAAATTGAAGCAATTTTCTCTCACATGCAGTACTTTGTAATAACTTTACGAGATGTGGTTCCTGGAATACCTGGGAGGTGGTGACCAAGGACAGATTCTCCTAGGCACAGCAGTGTCCTTTCCAGGCATTCCTCAAATCTTTATCTCCAGTCTAACCTCTATGTGGAACTCTTGACTGTATCCAAGTATCTATCCGTGTCTTGTTATCTTCTGGGTATCTCCACACAGATGTCTAATAGATGTTTCAAACTTAATGTGGCCAAAATAGAACTCTTGATTTCTACTTGCCAAACAAGGTTTACTTTCCTTTCTAAGGAAAAGTTAACATCATTCTCTAATTGCTCAATGTTAAGATAGTTATAATTCATTTCCTACCCATCCCTTCCCCCTAATCAAAATCCATGCCTCACTTTGCAGTAGCCTGCTGATTTTCTCTGGGCATTTCTTTCCCCATAATTTTTGAAAGGAAGTTTTCATCTTGAATTAGGGCTGAATCCATACACTACTCCCCTAAGAATTCTTTTCTGATCCCTCAGTTTAAGGTGACCATCACAGGGCCAGCAGGTGGCTTGGTAGTTAAGGTGCAGGATTCCCATATGGCTGATGGCAATTAGATTCTTCAACCTGGCAGTTAGTTTTTCACTTTCTCTCTCTCTCATGAGCACATGTGTCCTATAGCAAATTAGAAAAAAACCTGATAATAATAAATAAAATGAAACAAATTATTTTTTAAAAAATAAAGTGAGCACTATAAATCAAGTCTTTTCTCTCCATACAATATATCTAGTCTCTTCCCCTTTCTCCCTTCTGCCCTTCCCTTCTTTTCTTTATTTCTTCCCTTTACAAATTTCCTTTCATCTATCAAATTTAAGTTCTGATACTAGGTACTTTTAAAAAATGGTATCTGGTATATTATAGGTGCTCATGAATATTTGTTTATTGAAAAAAAATGATTAAAGCAATATATCAAGAGAGATCACTTTGCTTTACCAGTTGAAATGTCATCTCATTGTAAATTTCCTCTGACCATGTCAGTCTTGATTCTCCCCCTACTCTTGCTTTATTATTCTTACATCTATATTCCCATGGTACTTTGGGAATAGTCATACTGCTGTTTTCTACGATAGTTATTTAATCACTTTAACTTAAGCCTATAGTGCTCTGCTTGAGGAATGCTTGCTTGTGTCTCATCCATAAAACTGAAATATTGCTGAGCATTTATGATGTCAAAGTGCTGCTCTGAGAGTGTTTTAGATGGGATTACTCATTTCAGCCTCCCAGCTACTGCATGAGCTAGATAATAATTACATTATCTTGACTCTATAGAAGAGAGGATTGGGACAGAGAATGATCTGCCCAAAATCATTGTGCAGTTACTAAGAGGCAGAGCTTTCATTCAATGCTAGCTGTTGGCACTAGCATTCTTAGCCACTTGAACTGGTGGATTTTAGGTACTCCAAGTAAATAAGTGTATTGATAGGAACTGAAACACACGTTGGGCTCTGTGCTAAGTGTTTCTCATCTATAGCCTGGATTATTTTTACTTTTCTCAATTTCAGAAAGAAGACCTGGTGTGCGGTGGGATCATACTGAGAACATTCATTTTATAAGCTGTGTTGATGTGCAGTGATTAAATGAATAAAATAAATTTAAAAATACACAACAGTAAAAATAATTAAGGGACACAAAAATGGAAAATTATCTGTTGATGGTAATGTATATGGCAAAATCTTTGGACTAATATACAGTGTATTTAAGCTGGGATAATTAACCTAATATGATGTAATGATATACAGTGATTGAACATAAAAAAATAATAAAATAAATAAAATTTAAATAAAAAATAATTATTATAAAAAAAGAAGAGAGGACCACTGATTTAGAAATGCCATTCCAAAAAGATAATATGAATTTAAGCTCCTGGCTCTATTTGATTTTAGATTACATTCAATTTTATGGGGGGAGATGGAGAACATTTCATATATTTCTGCATAGTTGAAAGGTATTGGCCAAGTTTTACAATATAACATAAAGCAAGTTATACTTATATACAATCCCCAAGTCCCCATCAGAATAAAAGTAACATATACTCTGTAGTTTAGCAATTCTTCTTGTGATAATCTGTCTCACATAATTGATTTTCCTATTGCCTGTGATACATGTCCAGATGTCTTTATTAGAACATTAAAAAAAAAACAAAAATCAGAAGACATTACAATTGTTCTTCATAGGAACCAGTCAAATACATTCTGATCTATTCATCTAGTAGAAATACGACATAGGCACTAAAAGGATGTGGTAAGAGGAACTCCTTTAAGTTGAAAAAATGATAATGATAAATTGGTAAGTGAAAAAAAAAGCAAGTTGCAAAACTATATGTATTATAACATTTATTTTACGAAAGTAAAATTTAGAAAACCAACCTGTATACAGGGGTGCATAGGTATTACATAATTCATCCATAAAAAGCAAAGAGCAAAATTTCTCATTTTACTCTGCAAGACCATCGTGCAGATCAAAACAGTCGGGTCCACACGTGCCTAGTTCAGCTGTCTCTTTCCTCATGAAAATTTTCTCTCTACTGCCAAACATGGAACGTCTGAGTTTGATTTTAATGATGTCTGGCAGTTCTTTATAGAGGTTAGAATGTTCATTCCTCTGGAGTCTCACGTGGTATGCTATCTTATGTAGTAAGAAAACTTTGATGTTTCTTACGTAGAAAGAGAACTGCTTCTGAGTACTCTGTTACTGAATTGTATTACCTCTCCAGAGTATTTGACTCCGTTCACCGTGTGCTCGGAACCATGGTCGTCTGTACTGCCCCAGTGAAAATGAAACTGGCAAAGCCTGTAGCTTTCAGAGAGGGGGCCATCTTTCAGCACTGCAAGAAAAGGGAACTACCATGAGCTTTATTTATGATCATCAGCTCCAGTTTATCTTTCCACTTAATATAAACCAACACCAAACTGTACTGAATAGAAATGAAGATAAACCCTAGTGCCAGAGTTTTCATTTCCTTTTATCTTTTTCCATTTCCAAAATGATAGCATTCATAAATATGGTGCAACCCTAATGGTATCTTTAATACAAATAATCTATGATTCATATGTATATAATCCAGGAACCATAATTTTACCCATTCTACCTCTGAGAAAATATATTGCAAGGCGAGTAAATCACACCACTGAAGGGATTTCCTTGAATCGCCTTTTTGGAAGGAATCTCCTTCATTTATTTATTAGTTATTTTTGGAATTTGCCTTTATTCTTTCTTTCAGCATGGACCATATAGGCAAACGTATCAGAATCTATAGTGGATTAATTACCCTGATTTGATCATTACACACTGCATGCATGTATTGGGGGAAATATCACATTGAATCTCACAAATTTGTATACTTTTTACATGTTGATTTAAAAATAATCAAAAAGAATGTGGTGTAGAGGTTAAGGATTAAAAGTGAACTGTCAGGCCAGCAAATGGCCTGAGAGGAGGTTAAGGTGGCTGAATCTCACATGATCAACTATGTGATGTGAGTCCTGGATCCAGATGCTTGAAAAACACCCTAGGTGTGTGTGCGTGCATGCCCAAATCCCTTTCTGTCTCTGGTGAGTGCTCATGCTCTATAGCAAAAACTAAATAAATGAAATGAAATGAAATAAAAAAAAAAACCCAGAATGTCTGGTGTGTAAGTAAAGATTCAGCAAATGTTAGCTATTTTAAATACATAATTAATGTCGTAGTAGTACACATGTAGCAAAGTTGACAATTGTAGAAAAATAATTTGTGATTTTCACTTCATAGATAGGGGAAAAAATATTGATCAGTTAATTTTAAGTGGAAAATTACACATCATGTACTTTGTAACCAATGAAGACACAACAGTGTATCTTGACAGTTTTGTTGAGAATCCCTGGCCAGGGACCAAGAGAAAGACCCAATGGGGTACTGGGATCACTTCTCAAATTTTAACATTGAATGGCATCATCATTTTGGAGAGACTATGCGATGTTAATATTAATAATGGATATGGTCACAAGAGGCCTAAAAATTTAGGCTCAGAACTTTATAGGGAAATAAATCTCACCTTTTTCAATCAGTAGAACTGTCTTATGGGTTTGTCATTAACAAATTGTCCATAAGCATTTATGAAAAGTCAACTATGTAGCAGGAAATGTGCCAGATTCTGGGAAGTGAGTGCAGGCAGCCACTCCTGTTTCTCTTCTCTACTACACTCCTTCACCCTCAACCCAACTCGAAAATATTTGCCTGTACGATTTTATATTCATATTGGCTCACTAGACTTTCTTTCTTTCTTTTTTTTTTAAATATTCATTTAGAACGAGTGAGAGGAGCATGAAGATACTGGAGTGGCCAGAAGAGATGAGATGGTATAATTGGGAAGAAAAAGTACTGGAGAATGGACAGAAATGAGAGTTTCAAAATCATCTTTACCCTATGGGCATTCTCCAGAAACTTAAGTTGCTTCATCAGAAAACAATGTTACATACCTCCACAAAAGACATAGGATGGGTGTTTGTGTTTCTTAAGTCCCGTTGTTTTAATTTCTCCAGAGGACACAAAGGAAAAACAACAAAAGGGTCTTTTGGCTCACCTGAACGGTTATCATGGTCCTCGAAATTTACATGGAAGGAATGGCCCACGTTGATAATATTTTTGGCTGTGCTTGGATTGTAGCTGACGCTGATGGGTTTCAGAGAGGCGTCATGTTTAGTTTCACTGGTTTTAATATCAATAGGAGACTGGTTATTTCCATCAGCGATTGGATACAGCTTGCTCCATTGTTCAGGACCTACCAGGATGAAATATGTATATAATCATCATTTTATCAAATACTTGATTCCAAGTTTTAGGAATATAACTACCAATTTGCTTATTAGAGTAGGGGTTTATTCAAGTATTTTAAATGACAGTATGTTTAGCTTAAGGGAAATTCTCTGTTTCAGGATACAAATTCTCTATATTATAAAACAGAATATTAGGGACCAGCAAATGGTATAATGATTATGTTGCTGGACTTCCATGTAGTTCACTACGGTTTGAGTCCAAGATCCAGTAGCTTAAAACTCATGCCAGGCGTGTGTGCATGTGTGCCCAAGATCCTGAGAGGAGAATGGAAGAGAAGGAATTGGGGAGTGGCCAACCCCCTGACGGGGTGATTTTCCACTTTCTGCTTTCTGTCTCTCTGTCTCTCTCTGTCTCCATGGCAAACAAATGCACCCTATAGCAAAAGTCTCTCTCTCAAAAACAAAACAAATAAAAAACAAAAACAGAATATTAGTTAATACTAGTAATAATAGGCCTATACCTGTGGTCTATAGAATCAGACTGTAAATATTTTACTAATAGCCATAGATTTAATTCACATATACAAATATATAGATATATAACATTTTGTAGACAACCATGTCCCAGAAATATACATGCAGGGACAGCTGGTGGCACAGTGATAAAAGTAGCTGGATCCTTCATGGCCAACTACATAGTTTGAGTTCTGGACTTGGAGGCTTGAAAAAACATGCTGGCATGTGTGCATGCATGTCCAAAATCTCAAAAGCAGAAATGAGGTAGAAGAGCAAATATTAATGGGACAAAGAAATGTGGTATTATCTATTGAAGATAATTTTATAGTTTTATCAACTGGACTAGGGAGAAATGTTCACATGTTGGAATATTCACTTTGTAAGCTAAATAACGTGACTAAATGTATAAAACAAAATAACAAATATTAAAAAAAGAACTAAATAAATAAAAAATAAGAAAGCATGTGAGGATATTAAGATTATTGAAACTAGACTATTTAGGGGCCAGCAGGTGGGTATGGTGGTTAAGATGCTCTTCTCCCACATGGCTAACTTGGGTTCCAGTCCCTGACCTGGTGGCTTTGCTTTCTAACTCCCTGCTCTTCCCCGTATGAGCACATGTGCCCTATAGCAAATTAATAATAATAATAATAATTACTAGATAAATTAAATGATAAAAAAATGATTCTAAAAAGAAACAAAACAGGCAATTCAAAGCATTAACCTATATGACTGTGCAATTGTTTTAAATGCTTGAAATCTCTTCTGCTGGAAAAGGGAATACACTGTTATTTTTTATCTAGATAAAGAGAAAAAAACTCTTACCATTGTTGCCGTCATATCCCCAGTCTAAACTGGCCATGATCTTCCACTGAGTTTTCCTTTTCTGAAAACAAGAATAACACCTGTGATAACTAACTGGAATGGTACATGCAGTAAGCACCTTGAACCACCACTTATGGGTTTTTATAGAAAATTCTCTGCCATTAAGAGGTCACTATTTCATCATCTTTGCTTATCAGGAAGTACATAGATGTTAAAAAAAAAAGGTATTATAAAAAGCAAAGTCAGCAAGGATTATGTCAGCTGTAATTGCTTTATTTCCTTATATTGTGAATGAGAACTATCAAAGTCTTAGATTCTTTTTTTTTTTTTTCTTTTTTAGAGGTCTTTGCTATAGGGCATGTGCGCTTGCCAGAAAGACAGACAGAGACAGAAAGACAGAAAGCAAGAAATCACCTCCCAGGGGGGACGGCCACACCGCAATCCCTTCTCCTCCATTCTCCTTGCGGGATCTTGGGCACGCACGCACATGTGCCTGGCGTGAGTTTAAGCCACCGGGTCCGGGACTTGAACTGTGGTTGACTACATGGGAGTCCAGCAACATAGCCATTATGCTAACTGCTGGTCCTTAAAAGTCTTGGATTCTATAAAATCAAGTCCTATTTCTCTCACGTTAAAAGATGTGGCTAGCAATTGTCATACAAAAATTCTTGGAATTTCTTAAGTTCAAAATACTTTGTGCACTTCAGACTTCCAATTCTACCCTTGCTAGATACTTAAGTGATACCAGCAACACTAATCTAATAAAGAGAATAATGAGCATGTTTACAGGCTACTCTGAATGGGTATGATGATAAGTTAAAACTGGATGACAAAATTACTTATTGATTATATTATTCATTACAATATATTTTATATGTACATAGAATAAAGTCTTTAATTTTGAAGCAATATTGGAATTGTAAATGGAGATTTTACTACCATAACAATTAAATAAGGCCCAATATTTCTTTTAGACATCAAATAGGTTAACTAGAATAAAAGTCTTCTTAGAGATTTATACGATTCATAAAGCACTTTCTTAGTATTGTATTTTGCCATCACATACTGATCCTACAAAGTAAAAATTATGATTCTGTAGTGGAGAAGTATTGAAGGACTTCACCACAACTAGCAAGAAGCCAAGATGTCAACCTATGAATCCAGTTGCTTTCTTCACTGTCCCTCTGCTGAATGCCACACTGGGTGAACTATGAGGTAGATGATCCCTTAATCCTCTTTCTGTGTCTCTGGCTCTCTTACTTCCAATTTAAGTCTGCACCAAGATGAGAACTGACACCTGTTGTGTGATGAGAAGGTTCACAGGACTTTACAGGGAGGCCAGAGAACTGATTACAATGTGTCCGACTCTGGCTAGGTCCACATTTTCAAGTCTCTAAAAGTGTTTGGAAGAAACATAACCAGAAAAATAATCTTCTGCAGTAATGTTTTTGTTTTTTCTTTAAAAAAATTGTCAGGAAACTTGTGTACTCACCAGAGAGAGAGAGAGAGAGAGAGAGAGAGAGAGAGAGAGAACACCTCCCAATGGGGCATGGCCATGCTACAGTCTTTCTTCCCTTATTTCTCCATTCCAGAAGGATTTGGGGCACATACACATATTTTAAGGTTACTAAGCTTGCAAGTGGCTACTTATATCTCATAATCTCAGGGTTTAAACCCGGATCTGTCTAACTCCCACGCTTATACTCTTCCTTAACCTTCTGCTGTCAAAAATGCCCACTGACTTCCATGCGTTGCTATTTTCGAGGATCAGATTAGTTGATGTGGTCTGGATTGGCTCAAAATGACCCACAGTCAGGCTTCATCCTTAAGCTTACTTCATGCCAGACATACGGTCTTAGGTTGGACAGAAGCTCATGGAGTGACAGAAGCAAGCTACTCTGTAGCATAGTTTGGTTCCTCATATTGGATTCTTCATTAAAACTAATTTTAAATCAAATTAATAAGTTGTTTCATATTTGAAAAAGATGGCCCTTTTTACATTACACAATTACATGATAATTCATCACATGAATGTTTAACATTCATAGGGAATGGTAATTCGTTGAAAGATTTAGGTACAAAATTACTTTGAACTCTAACTATTATGACCTTTTCTTTTTATTATGTACCCAGGGTGTGTTTGTGTCCTCTCCTAAGCAGAAAATTGTCCAGAGAAAGGATACAGAATAGAAGGAGCCCCTATGGTTTAAGTCCTAACACCCCTCCCATTCACCTTTATCTCTATGCTGCTCACAAAACTGGCTGCTCCTAGCTAAATATCTATGCTAAAACCAATATATTTAATTTTGCAATCGCTTCACTTTGACCTGGAGCCTCCTCCCAATATATTTTTCTAGGACTGTAATCTTTGGATTGCCGTCATATATCAACAAGAAGCTTAACTTACACAGCATATGTTCTAATAAACTGTTCATTCTCTGAGGCCCTAAAATATGTAAGTGCTTATTAAACCAGGAGTATATTTGTTTTTTCTGATAGAGTCTTCTGAGTAATTACACATGTACTTACAACTGAATCGTGAGCAACTAAGTTGATAGAAAAATCTATATATTTTTTATAAAAGTAATGTAAAAGTCCATAAATGATTTTGATAGCAAATTGCTAAGCTGATAATGTCAAGAAGCAGTGAGAGTGTTAAAATTATTGTTGAGAACTGTTTTCCATTGTACCCATGCGAGGGCATGGTGGTGTAGGCTGGAAACCCCTATTGTTTATTGAGTGATTTCCATAGGTTGGGTACTTTAAAATAATATTTTATTTCAATTTTTCATAGCAGATCTAGGAGTTGGATTAATATTGCCTCACTTCTAAAGAGGAAATAAGTGAGGCTTAGAAAATTCAATGAGCAGAATAATAATTTGAATCCATTTCGGGTTTCCTCCAAACTCCATGGGTTTATTCTCTTTTCTAATATAGTACTTGAACATTTTTATAAGGTTGCCTATAAGGCATTTGCTTTAAAGTATGTTAACAGTCTATTATAAATACTTATTAACATGAATTAATTTTAGCTGAAGATGTTTCTAGTGACCTAAAATGTTTTTCAAAAAATATTCCTTCAGTGTTTTACCAGATTAAAAAAAACAAACAAACATGTTTTAGCCTAGTTTAGATTGTATTTAAGAACCTTTGCATTTGTTTAAATCTTTTTCTTCTAATTTCTTAGATACTTTCCTTTGACTCTTACTTTAATATTTTGAAATTTAAAACGTGAACTCCCCCCACCAATTTATTCATGACAGAGTGCCTGCACATGCACATGAGAATGAAGGAAACAGAGAGAGAGAGAGAGAGAAAGACTCTCCTCAAGGTCTGGTCATGCCACAATGTCCCACCTGAGCTCCTCCAGCTCACTGAATCCTGGGCAATCATGCCTGTTCCCAGTGTGTTTCAGGCTGGCTGGGCCAGAGATTTGAGTCACAATTGCTATGTGGGATCTGGCTTCTCTTGAGTAGTGTGTTACCATTGTGCCATGGAGCTCACCCCAAGCATCGACTCTTATAAAGGCAAAAAAAAAAAATGATGGTGGGTTTTAACTTGACATTTGTACTTAAAAAACAATTCTTTGCAGGCAGGGAACAGCAGATGGAATAATGGCTATGTCACTGGACTCTCATGTAGTTGACCGTGGTTTGAGTCCTGGACCCGGTGACTTAAACTCATGCCAGGAACGTGTGCATGCATGCCAAAGATCCTAAGAGGAGAATGGAGGAGAAGGGATTGCGGTGTGGCCATCCCTCCTGGGAGGGGGGGTTATTTCTCGCTTTCTGTCTCTCTGTCTCTATCTGTCTTTCTGGTGAGTGCATGCGCCCTATAGCAAAAACCTCTTCAATGATAATAATAATAATAATTCTTTGCTATCGAAGAAACAGAAAATATCAAGTCCAGCAGTTTTTCCCTGTCTACGCTGATAGGAATGTGCTGAATGACACTGGAAAGCAATATGCACATCTTTGCAGGATGAGATTCCATAAGGCAAGAGCTGTTTTACAGTGCCTGGAGTTTGACAGGGACAAGTGTCTTTCCTAGGACCTGGTCCTGCAGCACAGTGATTAAGCCTTGGGGATAGGGAGCTGGATCTCACCAGACTGACGGTGGTTTGAATCTTGACCCCTGTAACTTGAAAAATTCCCTGGGCACATGTGCAGGTGTGCCCCAAATCCTGATGTGATGGAGAAATGGAGAATCAAGTATTGTGACTTGACTATACCACATTGAGGTTCTCCTCTCTCTGGTGAGTATGAACACCTCCGGCAATTAAAATGAAAGAAAGAAGAAAGAAAGAAAAGAAAGAAGGAAGGAAAGGAGGAAAGAAGGGAAGAAAGAAAGGAAAAAAAGTTTTTTCTAGGATCATATTTTCCCTAACGTGAAGATATACACATTGTGAAAATCATTTTTGACTATTAACTTTAGCATGACTCTCACATTGCTTCTTCTTCTTCTTTTTTTTTTTTGGAGAGGTTTTTGCTATGGGGCACGTTCACTTGCCAGACAGACAGAGAGAGACAGAGAGACAGAAAGCGAGAAATCACCCCCCAGGGGGGATGGTCACGCCACAATCCCTTCTCCTCCATTCTCCTCTCGGGATCTTGGGCACGCACGCACACGTGCCCGGCGTGTGTTTCAAGCCACCGGGTCGGGGACACAAACTGTGGTCAACTACGTGGGAGTCCAGCGACATAGCCATTATGCTAACTGCTGGTTTCCTCACATTGCTTCTTAAATTCCCTGTCCATCCAGAAATGGCATTGTTTGGAGTAGAAAGATAAATCTCATTTCAGGTGGAGAAGGGGATCATAGAGAATGGTGGTATTAACCTATACATTTCTATATTTTCAAGTCACCTGGTCTGGGACTCAAACAGTGGTCCAGTGATGTTACCATCTGTTGGTCCTAGGCATTTTTAGATGAAGACAACTGCAAATTCTGATTAATCAAGATGAGTGGCTGAATGGTTTTATCTGGAGCTCACAGCTATCATTTCTTAAAAACTAATTTTTCTTTTTACTTGTAGTAAAGATATATTAACAATGTTTTTCC